ATCCTCCCCCGGCTCGGCGGGCTGGGACCCAAGGGACCTCTGCAGTGGCAGCAGTGGGCGAGACGCTGTCTCAACCACCATTTCTCATCATTTTCCTCTGCCTTTTGGTCGAGGAAATTATCTTGCTGTGAAAGGCACCGCGGGGCACTGCCCACACCCGGCGGGAGCAGATCAGGCCACAGGGCCTGCAGTTGTCCCACACCACGGGCAAGGGTTTCAGCTGTGATGAACGGAGCACTCACAGTGTCCTTGCAGCGCCAAGCAGGGCTGGGGACTGGGGTGGGAGCACACGGACCAGGCTTTGCCGTCCTGGTGCCATCCCATCCCAGGGGAACAGGGGTGGCATGGCGGAGCTGCGGCCGCCCACCCTGTGAGCCGTGGGAAATAGGAGGACAATAAACTTTCACTGCACCTTTTTCCAGGGAAGGGCTGGTCTGTACTGTCACATCTGGCCCATCAACATCTCCCACCTGTGTCACTGGCTGTCCCGAGGGCTCCTCTGGGGCCTCGTCCTCCCTGAGCGGCAGCAGCACCAGGGATGGAAGGAGTCTCCTTGCCCCGAAGACCCCCATGCAGGTGCTGCTCATGCTGGGCATGCAAGAGCCATGGTGGAGCAACCCTGCCCCGGGGCTGGCACTCGCCCAGCACGCCAAGCTGGGGAAACCCGGAGAAGTGGCAGCTGGGACTTTACAGACACCACGCGATCGATTTGTGGGTTTTGGGAAAGTGGAAGCTGCAGGATTTTGCCCTTGGAGAGCAGGCTGAGGCACGCCGAGCTGTTTGTGAACAGGCATCTGTGTGCCACCACCAGCGGGCTCCGTCCTTGGTGATGCTTTAAAACACACCCCAGTCGTTCACCCCATCTATTCCCAATCCATTCCCTTCTGACAGGGAAAAGACTGAAACGGGAACCCCCTGCTGGTGCTGTGCCCTGGGGCTGGCCATCTCCAGACCACGGCCCTGGGCTGCTGCCAGTGCGGATGCAGCCTGGCTGCCCCTCTCCAGCCCCACCGACAGCCCGGACCAGAGCAGAGCTTTCCTGCAGGGCTATAACCCCATGCTCCTCTTGGGCATCTCCTGCTCCAGGGGTCCAGGCGACTCTGCAACCGACCAGCCCTCCCCAAACCCCACAGGGAAGTGGCTGGGAGCAGCTGAGTGATAAAATCTTACCTTAAAAGCTGCTTTCTAATTCCTTCTGCCGTTGCTTCATGCATAATTGCACCTTCTGCCTTTTTTTTGTGAGCACGGACGAGCTGTCGGCAGAGCCCGGTGCCTGCCCTCCTTCCCACGGGCGGCTGTCCCAGCTCACAGCTATTGCACACTTTATGTGCTTCATCTATTTCAAAAGCGCCCTCTCAGCGTCCTCAGCCCCCGTGGCCTGAGATTTCTCTTTTGTTTTGCTTCCTGTATGGATTTTCTACAGTCCCTAACTGCTAATTCACTACCACCAACTTCTGCTTTTTCTGTTTGTTTAAGCAGAGCTGCGCAGATGCCCTTGTACACGCACACACATGCACACGCCACTGCTTCCCTTCCGCTCTGCATCGGGTTCAGCTTTTAACCATTGCCGCTTTCTTCTCCTGTAAAAGCCTTAACCAGCTTCCAACCGTCCTTCCCACTTCTCTCTTTAACTCCCACCCTCTGGCCCGCTTCGTTTTCAGGATGAGTGGGGTGGTTTGGAAGTGGCACATCGGCATTTCCCAGGGTGGGATGTGATGGGCTGTGGGTGACCTTTGCCATCCCACAGTGAGATGACGGTCCCCCCTCTCTGCCCGGAGGGGGTCTGGGGGTGACATCTGGAAATGCTTGGCTATGGGGGTCTGTGCTGAGCTGGCAATGCCCCCCAAAATCTCAGCCTGGCTTTCACGCACCCCTTCAGAGGGCAGGGTGGGAGATGGGCAGGGTGGGCGGTGGGCAGGATGGTGATGGGCGGGTTGGTGATGGGCAGGGTGGTG